GACCTTGGCGAGTACAGCACCCCCGCCCCCCCCCCACACTACGACGCATCCTTACTTGTTTGGTTTATCATTGAGTGGGATGGCGATTTCTCGAATTGGAATAGATTTCTTTTTGGATCGCGGGCTTTGTCGGTCTCGCCTTCATGCCAGAGACAACGACGGAGCGCTCGGCCTTCAAACGCCTTTGCAAAGTGCCTTTGACAACCCGCTTGCTGTTGTTGTTGTCGGCGCGGCGCAGGTGGGCCACGATAACTGGGTGCGCGGCGTGCTGGTCCACCCCGGCGGCGGCTTCATCCTCAGCTGCGCCGACGACAAGACTCTGCGGGTTTGGGACTACAAGAACAAACGCTGCGCCAAGACGCTCAGCGCTCACGAGCACTTTGTCACCTCTCTGGGTCAGTGGCGCGTTTTGCACCTTGCCGCCGACATCGGCTTTGCCAGTCGGGGCCTTCCAATTGGACCGTGTGAAGAATTGATAGGGTGACAAAAATCTTCTTTTCCAAAATCCCAATCGCTGTGGCAAAAACAAAAAGGTGCGTGTGCGTGTGCATGTAATCCATTGCACTTTGGGGGTTCTTTCGCAATTTCTCATTGAAATTATTCAGGGCCGTTTGTGGGGGGGCCCTGAGAAACAAGTTGTACAACCAAAGATGAACAGAGTCTGATCCGCGGAAATGAGCTCGTCATTGGTCGCTCTGGCTTTTGGGGACAAATAAGCAGTCGGACGCATTTTCCAAAAGAAACGCGCCGGTTCAATTGTTTGAAGGCACCGATGGAGACCCACGTTTGACCTCTGCTCACTTTCTGCATTTGTGCGAAAGGCAAACGCCGCTCTCACGCCTCTCCTCCTTGTCAGATTTCCACAAGAGCGCCCCCTACGTGGCGACGGGCAGCGTGGACCAGACGGTCAAAGTGTGGCAGTGTCGTTGAGTGCGCTTCCCGGCGCCCTCCCGCAGCCAGCGACCCCCCCCACGACCCCCCTTCCCGCGCCCCAAAATGACTCTTGCCCTTCATTGTAAATGATTTGCCGACGGGAGTCTGCGCGGCGACCGCTCCCGCTCATCCTTGCGTGGCCGATCATTTCCTGCTTTGCGTAGGCCACGCCCCCTCCGCAGTCTCGCACAAGCCAACGGGAAGTGCCAAATGATTGACGGCTTGGCCCTACGGGTGCGAGGGCCTCTCTGAATGTTTGTGTGTGAGAGAAGTGGAGTGAGTAACTCATTGAAAGGTGTGTGTGTGTGTGTGTGTCGCGTGAGTGACCGACGTGGGCGCTTGTGTTTGAGAGAACCCGCACAACTTTGATGGCCCCCGCCGCCCCCTTGCGTGCTCATCACTTTGCAGCTTGCGTGTCGTCATCGTCCAGTACTCGCCGTCTGCCTCGTGGAGCTGCCAAGGCTGCTGCCTCTCACACACACAATTTCCTGACCTTCTCACACACGCGCGCGCTAACAGTTGTGTATCTGTCTTTGTGGATGTGACGTTTTCAGGATCAAGAAAAATAAAATGTAAATAGCACCTTCGGCCTTTGCCAGCATCTCGTTTGTTGTTTTTGCACTCTGGCCATTTGGGAGCATTTGACCCCCCCTTGAATTTTGTTGCGGACTTGGCCAAGTTCGCCTTTGAGTGCTCCGCCTCCTTTTCTCCTTCCTCGATTTCGCCGCTTGCGCTGTGAACGGCGAGACGGCGCAAAAACGTCGGGACGAGCTCCAAGTGTCGCTTCGTGTCCAGTGCAGGGCCGGGTCGAGGCAGGGGCAAGAGGGGGCTGGCCCCCCCCTCAAATAAATGTTGTGCCCCGCCCCCCTGACAATATTTGCCCGAAATCTATTTCATGTTTCTGATCTCATGCCTCTCTCCTCAGCTTCACTTGTTGATGTCTCGCATACAAAAGCGATCAAGTTGTTTGGCCACTGCGCTCCAACCCCCCCTTTCACATGGCTCGCCGTGAGGGGTGAGCGGTCTGCAGCGAGCGGGGGACGCCCAACTTCCCCTCGGCGGATGATGCAGTTTGCGACACTCAACTGTGCAGTGGCCTACTTAATGGCGTCGTGTTTTTCTGGAGAATTTCCTTGTTCGGTCAACACCAAGCCGAAGCGCGGAGGCCCGTTCTGCTGGGAGCGGAGCCGTCGTCGCCTCTTCTAGAACGGGGGGTGTGGCCGCATCCCAGTCAGCGACTTTGTCAGTCAAAAGTGGTGGGACGCGACACCCCCTCGGGCGGCAACTACTTTTTGGAGCTCAAGCCCGGCTTTCCCTTTTTCATTGCGAGTGTCCGAATTTGCTCGCTAGCGACTTGAAAGGTGTCAATCGGCCGACGCGAGTCGGTGGGACGCCGCGGCGTGGAAACGAGCATTTGCCGCTTCGGGCGTGGACACTTGCTTGACGCCAGCAGGACGGAAAAGTGGCTTCAGATGGGCGATGAACTCGTCATTTGTCGTCAACCCTTCAGGGCTCAAGTTTTTCCTTTTTGAAAATGGATTTATTGGGGTCAACCTCGCCGGCTTCACGACGACTGACGCTTTGACTCCAAGGACGGAGCTGCCGGGGCTCGGCTGTATCCCGGCAACCGTCGCCGGGGCGACCGCAGCGCAGAGGCGACGGCCACTCGGGGACTCGAAGGTGAGCGGGAGGAGGGTTTCCTGCGAGGCGACGGGAGCGAGCTCGGTGGGGGCGCACCCCCCGAAGGTGGATGCCTGTCCGAAGTCGTGCCGTTCCGGGATGGGGAGCGAGAGGCGGCTCGGGCGTGCGGTCGGGACGCCTCCCGCTCCAGCCACCCGAGAGACGAAGCAGGATGTGGCCGAGGTGGACGATGGCCCCTTTCGTGGTCCCCGATCAACCGCCGATTGGACGCCCTTCGTCAAATATGGACTTGCCTTCTCTTACGTCGAATGTGTCTGAGGCATTTGTTTCGAGTCTGCGCAGCCGCGAGTGATGCAGCGCTTCATCTGGGTCATCGTCATCATCATCATCATCATCACTATGCTCCTTCACAAACTGGCCCCTCCCCTTCCTCTTTACGCCTCACGTGCTTGTCATGTGCCGCCTTCCCTCTTGCCTCTGCCCACTTTCCCATCCCACACGCGCGCAGAGAATATCAAATCACAGAAGGAAAGGGAGGGGCGGGAGGAGGGACCAGACTGCATTCACGAAAAAACGTCAGATTCATCAACGCCTCGCGTTTCTTATTTGTGATCAAAAACTACAACAAATGAAAACAAAAAGTGTCATGAGTCGGGGTGACGCTTTTGGACGTGAACTTCTCCTTCCCGCGAAGACGGAAGCCTCGCCGACGGCTCGTCCTTTAGCCCCGCCCCCTCCACGCTTCGACCGACC